CAACTTTCAATTTTCAAACACAACCAATTTAATACATATTTTAGAGTGTAAATTCAAATACTTAACGGTTGAATTGGTCCTACATTTTTTTCAAATCAACAAAATTCTTCGGTCTTCATAAAGGATTTACTAATTCTACAATTTGGTTTACATGACAAGTCAAATTTTATATATAGTATCTTAGAAGCCTAAAATATAAATTTAGAGGATGTGGAACACGTGCATATTTCATAGTGAAAAATCATGCAAATTCCTTAAACTAAATGCAATGTGGGAAAAAATGTAAAGTGGAAAATATTTTAAAAAATAAATAAATGCATTATGGAAAAAAAAAACTGATTCAGTCAAAAATAATATATGACAAAAATATTGTTTAGGTCCTTTAAATTATTTTAAAATATTAAATTAGTTATTTAAGTTTTCTTTGTATCACTTTGATCTTTTATGTTAAGTAACGTTTGAATCGTTGATATTTTTAAAAATCTCTGTTATAATAAATTACAAACTCATATATCATTTGAACTGATTTTTCACGCTGATCACGGATATGCAATCAAATTTATTAAACAAGTTACAGTTCATAAGAATCAGAAAAAAATATGGACAAATACATAATGAAAAATCGTTCGATCCGACCAAAATACACAATCAAACGCAAATTTAATTACATATGCGTGATCAATGTGAAAAACCAGTTCAAATGGTATATGAGTTTGCAATTTATTATAATAAATTTTTTTAGAAAGGTCAACGAAACAAACATTATTTAACATAGAGGATCAAAGCGTTACAAAAAAAATTTAAAAGACTAACTTAATATTTTAAAATAATTTAAAGGACTAAAACAATATTTTTTCTTATATATATTTTCAAATTAATAAATATATCTTTAAAATTGTATAATATTAATTAAAATAGTCAATTTGTTAATTTTTATCATTAGAGATCTTATGGTAACATATTAACTTAATATTATATTTTATAGTTTTTTTTTTCAATTTAACAATCAAAATTTTATTATATAAAATTAAATTAATAGAATGTCGCAACTTCAAATCTATCAGACTTAAATAATTTATATTTGATATGCTATTAAGTTATTAGATCACTTTAATTTGTCAATAAAACTTATGTCTCTTAAAGATTAATTTGTCAATAATTAGTCTTTTCAAAATTGTGATTATTAACAAGTTTGTTTTTAAAATAACATAAATTTTATAGACTAATTAGTTTATAGTGAACCAACATTAATAATAGTTTATAGACTAATGATATTTTACAAGTTTAAAGATATATTTATCTATTTGCAAAAATGAAGATGCTATCAACTTGTGTATTTAAAAAACAAAACTATTTTTTGACCTTTTTGTTAACTAAATAATGTATTAGTGTGTATATTCACCTTCTCATGAATGTGAAAAGAAATTATACAAAATCAGAACACAACTTTCATAAACTACCCGCTTTTGAGCAAGACATTTGATTGGATCATTTATGCACCCACATTTTAAGAATCTGTCCTTGTATTTGTATTGTTTCCTTCCTATAATATGTGCAACACTTATGAGGACAAACCTTGTATTAACAAATATTACAATGTTCTTATTTGAATAAATCATTACTAATATTTAAATAAGGTGAAACATATTTTTGAGTTATAGTAAGTTTTTGTTAAAGATAATCGGAACGATATTTTTATAGCTAATAAAATGGTGGACGATGCACGTAGTTTAAAAAAAAATTATTATTATTTAAGGTTGATTTTGAAAAAACTTATGATTTAATGAATTGGCGGTATTTGAATGATGTTATGTGTTAAATGAATTTTTCGACTCTGTGGCGAAAGTGAATTTTAGAGTATATTAATACGGTAACAACTTATGTACTTAAGAATGAGAGCCCAACTGATGAGTTTAAGATGGAAATAGGTATTCGTCAAGGTGACCTGCTTTTCCCTTTTTTCTTTCTGATAAAAGTTATAGGGTTAAATGTTTTGATGAACATTGTAGTGGAAAAAGGAATATATATCAGAATATTGGGGTCAACGTCTCAGAATCTTGATTGCATGAGGCAACGATGGTTATGAACTGTAAGCACAATCAACTATATTTTTGTATTTGGGGCTGACTGTTTGTGGATATTCTAGGAAGGTTAATGTTTGGTATCCTCTGATTGATCATATCAAAAGAAGATTGTCGGGGTGGAAGAATCAATTTCTCTCTATGAAGGACCGTCTTATTCTTATTATAATTCCGCTCTATCCTCAATTACAATCCATTTCCTTTTCTTCTTCAAGGCGCCCTAAAGTATCATTTCTTCTATTGAACCTATTTTTAATGCTTTTTTTTATGGGGAGGGAGTGAGGAAGTGAGAAATTTTTTATGGATTAAATGGAATACTATTTGTTTGAAAAAAGAAAATGGAGGTGTAAGGGTTAAGAGGTAGAAGGAGTTTAACTTAGCCTTATTTGATAAATGGCGTTGAAGGGTCTTAAATGAGACATAAAGTCTTTGGTGTAGGGTTTTGTGTGCTTGGTATGGTGAGGAAAGGGGGCGATTATGTTTTGAGGATATTGGTGGTTCTGTTTGGTAGAGGAGTTTGGAAAAAAATAAGGGAGGGTGTCAGGTTGGTTGATGAAGGATGGTTGCTTTGGTAACATTGACCAAAGAATAAAAGACGAGTCTTCTATTCTATTTTGGATAGATCCTTGACTTAATGGTACGTCTTTTAAGGTAAGATTTAGTAGGTTGTTTGATTTAGCTGAGAATAAAAGGGTGACCATAATAGAAATGAACGAGTTGGATCTGGGGAGAACGGTGAGGCATGTAAGTGACGTATGAGGTTGTTTGTTTATGATGAGGAGTTAGCGGGGGAGTGTATTGATGGGTTAACCTCAGTTGTTTTATAGGTGGACATAGAAGATCGCTGGGTTTGGATTTTACATCCTTCTTCATGCTACAAGGTTAGTAATGCTTATAAAAATTTGTTTGAAGTTGATGTCAACAACAATTAGGCTAACTCCTAATTTTTATGGTTAAAGACTGTGTCACTTAAGGTATCTATTTTTACCTGACGGTTGTTTCTAAATTATTGCCCGACTAAGGACTATCTGGATAGGAGACAGATTCTTGCAACGAACGATAACAAATGTGTGTCAAATTATGGCGTGGATGAAGATAGAGATCATTTGTTTGTAACATATGATTTTTTGGTAGGTTGTGACTCATTATTCTTAATTGGTTAGGGTTCTCTACGACATCATAAGGAACTGTTTGGGATAATCTATTGCAGTTTGATGGGCTTGGTGGTTTTTCAAAAAGTGTTCAGTTGACTTTTTATACTATTTAGTTCGCGGTGATTTGAGTTATCTAGAAAGAGCGAAATATGTGCATTTTTCAGAATAAAGCGTAATAATTGCAAGCGTTATCTATAAGGGTAAAACTTCAGTCTTTTTGAGGGTTAAAGTCAAAATATGTTTCTTTCGATTCTGATTTCCAGCCATGGAGGTTAAATCCTTTATCTTACTAATCAATGACTATGTAAACGACTCTTTGCTGATTTTTTTCTTCTGAATTTTAGATTGTAACTTTGAATTCTTTCTTATCATTTTCGGTACATCGTGTCCAAGATTGACTTGTTTTATTCGTTAATATATGTTTTATTTTGTTTTTTTTCCAATAATAATAATAATAATAATAATAATAATAATAATAATAATAATAATAATAATAATAATAATAATAATAATAATAATAATAATAATAATAATAATAATAAAAATAATGCCAAAATATAATTATTTTAAATGATGAAACATTGTCTAATTGTCAAAATTATTTTAGAGACATCAAAAATTGAAAGTATTTCTAACAACATATTCATAAGTCATATAATCATCCACCTCTATTATTTTGAAAAGATTCATTTTTTGTGTTTTAACCAAATTTTATTTTTGAATTCTTTAATCTATTAATTATAGTGTAAGGTAACATAACAATCCTTGTGTTTTTGTGTTATTTAATTAAATACATAAACGAAAAATGGCATGAATTCTCTTTTATATAACTTATATTTTAATTTATATATTTAATTAAGAACAAGAATTATTCATTAAATGTTTATTAAATATAGGGTAAAAAAAATTAGAAGTTGTGTTGTGAATTTAATATAATTTTATAATTAATAATTCTATTATTCTTTTTCATAAAAAAAAATTATTTGTGAACTTTTTTATCATGTGACTCACACACGTTAGCCTTAGCTTTAAATTTATATTATAATTAAATATTTTCTCTTTGTTAGATTTAAATCGGAAGGAATGAAAGGAATCATTTTATAAAGAAGTATTTGTTCAATTAAAGACATCTTTAATATATATATATATATATATATATATATATATATATATATATATATATATATATATAAAAACATTTTTGAAAGTTTTTTTTTTTTTAAACTTTAAAACCTTATATGATGTTAGTGAATTGCAGTTCAACTCATTTAATTTTTTTTATAAAAAGAAAAAGAAATATTTTTTAGATAAAAATATGTATATGTTCATAAAAAAAAATTACACAAAAATATAACGTTATCCTTTTCTAGACAAAAAAAAACAGTAATATTAATTTTATAAAATAAAAAATAATTTAAAATAAATGATATAATTTTTCCACTAGAAAAGTTGTTTGTATTATTGAATTAATTAAAAATCCAAAAAGCCAACTAGAAACACAAGCATAGCAGCTAAAAGCTGTATCTAAAGCAAATCATCCAAAGCCATCGCACACGTACCAACGCATCTCTTTCTTCTTTCTCTTATCCCTCACCTCACTCAACCACCTTCCAAACCAGTTTCTCTTTTTCATAAACCCTATTCCCAATCTTCTAAACTTCAATTTCAGTTTCCCCAGTTTTTCTATTCATAAGAAAAAACCATATTATTATTACTCAAATATCCAAATCATAAACTTAAAACTGGAGTTGTTTTTCTCTGAGAAATGCCAAGTGTGGCTGTAAAACTCTACAGCGTATTCTTCAAGTTCCTCTTGAAGCACCGTTTACAAAACCGGATTCAAGCCCAACCCGATAACTTTAACTCATTCGGTATCACTTCACGGCCCGAAGAATCCGTCGCTAACTCTAACCCTTCTTTCACCGACGGCGTCGCCACCAAAGACATTCACATCGATCCTTTCACTTCTCTTTCCATTCGAATCTTCCTCCCTCAATCTGCACTTTCTCCACCCGAGCCTCATTCCAAACCTAAGTCTAACCCTAAACAACTAGATCCCGAGCCTGGATCTGTTCGGCGAAGTAGCTATGGTCCTCCCTTCAGGGAAGAGCTCCGAGGGAATGGTTTTGGAGGTAGTAATGGTGTTGAGGGTTTGAATTTGATGGGCGCTGGTGTTGTTACTGGTGCTGGATTGTACCGGGGGTACTCGCCGGCGCTGGATAATCGACGCAGGAAGTTGCCAGTGATGTTGCAGTTTCATGGCGGTGGTTGGGTTAGTGGGAGTAATGATTCCGTGGCGAATGATTTGTTTTGTCGGCGGATCGCAAAGCTTTGTGATGTGATTGTGATTGCTGTTGGGTATAGGTTGGCGCCGGAGAGTCGGTATCCGGCCGCGTTTGAGGATGGGTTGAAGGTGTTGAATTGGTTGGCGAAGCAGGCGAATTTGGCTGAGTGTAGTAAATCTATGGGGGTTGGTGGAGGAAGCCATGGTGGCGGCGGTGGTGGTGAGTTTAACAAATCAGATAATCATAGACATATTGTTGATTCTTTTGGTGCTTCAGTGGTTGAGCCTTGGTTGGCTAGTCATGGAGATCCAACAAGGTTTTCACTATTTCATTGTTTTATTCCTTTACTTTTATGTTAATTGTCATGATCCTGAGCCTGCCTTGTTTGCGTTATCTCATTAAGCATTTCAAGATTTAGAATTTAAGATTGAAGAGTAGCCACTATATCCACTATTTCACAACTTTTTGTTATACTATGCTTGTTTGTGAGTGAAATGCCTTATGTTATTGTTTTTCTTGTAGATATATGTAGTGATTCATTAGAGAGTGTACTATAATAAGGTAGGTCAAGGGATCCAATTTTTCTGAAAGAGGTGGGTAGGGGAGTATACTGATGAATGAAACTCTAATTATGATTATGATCGATTCTAGTTTTAGTTGAAATCCAATTGCTCTGTTGTTTGAAATGAATTGATTAAATAAAGGTGCTGTCTGATAAACAACTAACAGCCTATATCATGTGAGTAAATGTTGCATATTGTTTTATCTATTTGATAGGCCACATACGTCGGCAGTTTCTGATTTGTGGGGTAAATTGTTTGTTATTTAACCTATTTTTGTTTCTACTGATGTACAAATTTTCATGTGGTCTTATCTAACTCTTTCTGTGCTAAAACCAAGTTTCGCTGCATTTTCTTGTTACAAACATGCAGATCTGGTTCATATTGGGGGTTGGGATACTCGGTTGTCATAAGAAACTAAAATGCATTGATTTTTCTATTGTTATATTGGATAATGCATCTCTTTCCATTTTAACTAAAGGGATTTTGATTTGTTTAGGGAAATTATAGGCTCTTTGTTGATGGAAGAAATGAACTAGCAGATCCGTAGTTCTTTCTTGCTTGCTTTTGTCTGATAGTTTACACATTATTGATTTATGGTCGGGGTATCAAATTTTCAGTTTTTCTAGAAGGAAGCGTCATCCATACTATGCCTGTGAAGTGCCCTTTTTTTAAATTTTTATTTCCATCTATTTAGTATGCTTATGCTGTTTTTTAGCTGTGCCCACATGATGACTCTTTATCCTTTGTAATTTAATGGCATCCATTGGCACTATTATAAGTTTTTTGATCAGTGTGCCCTTTTAATCAAGTTAGGTAATTTAAATGCATCCCAGAAGGCCTTATTCTACTTTATCCATTTTATTGACAAAGGGGTAAGTAGCGTGTTATCAATTGCGGATAGCGGAAAATAGAGGATTGTTGAAACTTCGCTATGCAATAGTGTTAGAGCGGCTATGACAACATTTTGTGCTAAATATGGTGGTTTGTCTAAATTCTGCCACACTACGCAAGTATAGTGCTGTTATACCGGCTATTTAACAATACTGTCTAAGAAATTACTGCATGTAGTAGGCCCATAGTAGGGGCCAACAAAGAAGAATAATGACATATTCTCTCTTCTATAGTTGATTCTATAACCATTTTTGAAGTTTTCTGGTTTACTTTTAATTGTTTTGTTCGATGCTCTTCTTTATCTTATAGGTATAGCTAAGAATATCATGTCATCTTTAATCTTTTCTCCCTTGTATCTTGACACCCTATCCCCACACTATCTTCTATACTAAGCTGATTTCTAGGATGCCTTTCTTTAACATCCCAAATATTTATACTTCAAAGTTTGGTTAGGGAATATTTAACAATGTTGATGATCAAATATTATAATTTTTATTAGGACCCAAGCCAACAATTTAGGAATTCATTACAGAAAAAATAAGAGAGAGAAGGAAATGATAATGTGGCACGGGGTGAAGAGAGAGTATTCCCCAACTTAGGGGGTACAGTTATATAGGGACAGAGGAGAGAGAAGGAAGGAGTATCTTGGAAAATTATTACGGGGTTTGTTACGGGCATAGTACATTGTTCTCAATAGGTGCTCAGCTCTGTGTACAACACAATATTCATTGTTCTGGAGTTGTTTTTTTATTTTCAGCAATAATACACCCTGTTTTTCCACTATTGATCTGGTTTCTCTGTCAAGTACTACTGTGTGCAACCAGTTTGCATCGATTTTTTTCTTGGAAGTTGTGGTTTACAAATAATAAGCCGCATATTATTTGAGTCCATATTTTGCTATTGTTTAAGTGATTAGGTGAATTAAGACTATTGTTTGGGCATGTGGTAGAACATACTGTGATACTGATAGGTAACCCTGATTAGCTAGCCAGTTAATGGATTGGTTAGTTAGGGGAAAAAGTGAGTAATGAGTGTATATAAATAAGAGTACGGGTTTACATAAGAGTAACCCTGATTAGCTAGCCAGTTAATGGATTGGTTAGTTAGGGGAAAAAGTGAGTAATGAGTGTATATAAATAAGAGTACGGGTTTACATAAGAGTAACCCTGATTAGCTAGCCAGTTAATGGATTGGTTAGTTAGGGGAAAAAGTGAGTAATGAGTGTATATAAATAAGAGTAAGGGTTTACAGGGAAATCATCTTGTCATTTAGGAAATAGTTGGGGCCTTAGAGCATTTGGGAGGTAGGCTGTGCCTCAAATGTCTGCTATAACTTTTCTTTATCCAGAGTATTCTTCCCTATTTTCTCGCAGGTTAATACTCTATTAATTCTATAACTGTTTAAATCAACTTTGATACTGATTTTTTTGTTCCAACATGCATTGTTGGGTATATGGTGTTGCATGTTACATTCTTAGTGGACTTGTGTGATACTCTCTAAGTCTTGGAATACCTAAGAGTCTCTCCTCCAACAGGGCCCTTCTTTGTGTGAATTAAAAACTGTAGTAACATCATAAGTTGCAGAATCAAACTTTTTACACAGACGCAAAAGCACACTTTTACATAGATGCTTTTATATTGTTTGTCATTACTCTTTGCCATGCTTCCTTTTTGTTCCAGTTGTAATTGACCTTTTTTATTTCTTTAATACTGAAACAGATGTGTTCTTCTTGGAGTGAGCTGTGGTGCGAATATTGCAGACTATGTGGCTCGAAAAGCTGTGGAAGGAGGCAAGCTTTTTGACCCTGTCAAGGTGGTAGCGCAGGTTTTGATGTATCCATTTTTTATTGGTAGCGTGCCCACGCGTTCGGAAATAAAATTGGCAAACTCCTACTTTTATGACAAGGCTATGTGCATGCTTGCATGGAAACTTTTCCTACCCGAGGAAGAATTTAGTTTGGACCATCCAGCTGCTAATCCCCTGGTCTCAGGCCGGTCTCCTCCTTTAAAGTTGATGCCTCCGACATTGACAGTGGTGGCAGAGCATGACTGGATGAGGGATCGTGCCATTGCTTACTCAGAGGAGCTTCGGAGGGTGAATGTTGACGCACCTGTTCTTGAGTATAAAGATGCAGTGCACGAATTCGCAACACTTGATGTACTTCTCAAAAGCCCTCAGGCCCAGGTTTGTGCGGAGGACATTGCCATCTGGGCCAAGAAATATATTTCACTTCGAGGTCATGAATTCTCGTATTGAGTAGGGTATAAAAAATTAAGATGATGATTCCGTGGTAGATATTTGCCTTCCCTCAACTTTGAAATTAACTTCAGATCACTCTTTTGCTGCTACTACCCTGGAACAGTTATATTATTTGATTGATTTTGATGCTTTATAAGGTGTTGGATATTGACTTGTTCCATGTTTGTACCACCTACCAGATCGGTTGTAAGATAGATTTAGTAGGATTAGTTGAGCCATTGAGATGCATATACCTCATGCGAACCAGCCACCTTAGGTCATTCTTGTGCATTTTTTCCTGTGTATTATGTGTCATATTTCTTAATGAAATATATTAAATTTAATGAACCATTCTCTTGGCGTGTGTGTGGTGTCTAATTCATCTATGGTTTCAGTAGTATGCACTTTATTGTTCAATAATCTTATTGATCTGAATTACTCAGATTTATTTTTTGCTGCAAAAACTCCATACTCCTGGATATGCATGGTGTGAGCTCTGTCCTATAATAACTGATATCATTCTTGCCTGGTATTTTGGTGCGCACAAACTGTGCATGGAGTCACTCTATGGAGACGTTAAACCTCATCCACAATTACCTTCAAACTCAATCCTATTTTCTCATTATTATTGGTCATATTCATATGATACTATAATGTGTCTGGGAGCTGATGACTTTGTTCTAGCATAATATTAGTTAGACCTTTTCGTTTGACGATGATAAACTTGATTTAGTGTTAGGTGTTACTTTAGCTTCTTTCTAATTTATAAGCATTTGTTTCTTTATTTGTCTTTTCTTTCATTTATGCTGAAACTGAGTCCTTAACACAAAAGTGGGAACGTTTTGTTGGAATTTGTCAAAGTGTTGTAGTTGTGCATGGTATTGATAAATCCATTTGTTCTGGAATGTGTGGCCAACAATGAAATTAAGATTCTAAATTGAAAAAGACTTTTTCAATTAAGTTACAATTTAGTGAAGCCCTATGACGATGTAAAGAGCCTATGCTCCCTTAGTAAACGTACGTGCATTGTTGGACTCAATATTATATACATTTTTTCTTGATGATTATTCTTTCTAAGATTAATTTGCTGACTATAAATACGGCAATGCCTTTACATTAGTGCCTCGGTGCTTTTTTCTCAAACCTTTTGAGGAGATTGCCCCACATGATCAGTGAGGGGATACATATGATGAAACTCTCACAAAGTATGTGTAGTCTTATTATGCTGGCCAGGTTTAGTTTTGCTCGTTGGCCGCAAATACTGGAAGCACTTTGAGGGTTAGGGTACCAACCCTGTGGTGTATGCTCACGTAACCATGCCGATCACTCTGTCTGATTTTCTGAGTGTATACTTTAGGTGTATAGGTGTACCTCTATCAATTGTTGTAAAATCATTTATTTGTTTTATAACATAGATGAATTTTGTTAAACAATTTAAATACATCATTTGATATGGTAAAGAATGAGTGACTGTAAATCTGGATTCTTAATCAGACTAATTGCACTAGTGTTATCATATTTAATCGGAATGTAATAAAATTTTAAATTATAATCTAGTAGAAAGAGAACCACTACGTTGTTTTTTATTTTAAATAGATGACAAGTATCACCATTACTCTTCTTTTCTTATTTGATTTGCACTTCGCCAGATCAGAAACAGAAATGCATACTGAGCTGCATTCATTTCATTTAGAAAATCAAAGACAATGGTTTGAGGTTCCATTAATATACATTAAAATATGTTTAACGATTTTAAAGTGGAATTTTCGCGTGGAAGTTTGAAATCTACACACATGCGCACACAAATATAATATCATGTCGGTTTGCAGTTAAATAAAACAAAAGTTTTATTATAAATTTATATTTGGTGATCTCAATCTCCAATCCTTATTTGGTTAGAAATCATTAATGTAGATATGAATTTTGAATATGTTATGTCAATTTTTTTTAGCAACTCTAAATAATATTTTGTTTGACTAATGAACATGTATTTATTTGTTTGATTAATTTGTAGGTCTAGTAAACAATTAAGTTCTCTAATTAGGGACATTTCAAATTCATCCTACATGATATTTTATACTACGATTCATTTGTAGAAAAAAATTATATCTTCTACATAAATCTAAACAAAAAGAATATGTAATCCTCCACAATTTACAAATAAACTAATGTCTACGGTACGATGATTAAATCTTATTTAGTAAGAAGTCATTAGGACGCTCATACAAAAATTAAGGAGTTTGTTTGAGACCATAGAAATTTCTTTTTAGTTTAAAAATATGGTCAGAATTTTCACAATCTTCAAAATCAGAAGGTTGAGAGACATATACTTCTTCATTTATAAAATCAATACGGAAGACAAACTTAATGTCAATTTGAAACAACCTAAAATCCAGGCATCATGTGAATCTCTTCGAGATGAGCTACATGAGCATATGTCTCCCCATAGTCAATCTCTAGTCAATCTCTTCAGCTTGACTGTATTCTTTTTCCATAAATTTTTCTTTATTTCTTGTGATTATGTCATTCTCATCAAGTTTGTTTTGAAAATCCATCTAGTGCCTATGATTGTTTTGTTTTGAGGATGTGAAACAAGATCACATATGTCATTTCTTTTAAATTGATTAAGCTCATCTTGCGTAGCAAAGAGCCAACCTTTTTAAGTCAAAACATCACAATTTTTTTTGTTCAATCTATGAAAAGAAAGCTGAATAATTACAACAATTACTAATTTGGGAGTACTTGTTCATGATGGACATCATGAGGGGGAAACATACACGTTGATGCTCCTCCTCATGATCTAACAGTTTACACCTCTTTTGATGTCTCTCTCTCACTTGTGTTGTTCTTGACCCAATATTGATGCTCCTCCTCATGATCCAACTGTTTACACCTCTTTTGATGTCTCTAGAATGTAATCCATCATATGGTCTTTTGTAATAATTTAGTCTTGAGGTAGCTTTGTTTGTGTCTTATTTGTCATCCTCATGTTCTCTTTTCTCTTTATCAACTTGTTTCCCTTGAAAATCGGAAAACAACCGCTGATCTTCTAAATTTGACTTTGGTGACTCACAGGATCGATCAGATTGATCCTAGGACATGTGCTAAAGTATTCTACGTTTAGAATTAAATTTAAAGTACTTGTGATAACGAATCGGTAAATGTGATTGTAATGAAAAGGACTTTGACTGGATATTTTAAAGTGCATAAACTTAAAGGAAATGCTATTAAAGACTTGTAAAAAAGGCTGTTCGAAAAGGGTAAAAAGTTTAAAGGAAAGAAGGAATTGGAGTAAAAGATGCAGGAAAGGTAAAAGGCAAAATGTAACACTTGCACAAGTGGTTCGACAGAGAAAATGTAAATGTTGCTGAAATTGTAAAAGACTTTATTGAAAAGTTGGTGATTTTACATAACGTACATTCTCCGTGAAAAATACTCTTTTCTCACACTCGGGTACTTTGAGTAAATTTGATTGGAGTTACTTTGTACAAATGGTAAAACACCCCAGAAATCTGGCTAACAAATCCCTATTTATAATGCTAATAATTAACCGCTAATAACTTCCTAGTATCTCCTCAATCTAACAAGTGTCATTTGCATGTAACCTCCCGCTCTAGAATTCGCCACGTGTCTTATGAACCAAAACTCCTCCCTTCAATTTTTGAATTTCAAAAACGACGTAGCAATGCCATTTGCGGAATTTCGGTCGAATGACCTCTGACACGATCGAAATGCTCATAACTTTAGGTTTCTTAATTCTTCTAAGTTATTTCGACCGTTCAACTTTAGAAAAATTCCTTAGAGGCTGTCAAAACTTCTTTGCTTCATTTAACTTAGACTTTAATTATGTCTCAGTGTTTTAGCAACTCAAGTCAGTGTCGAATTTGGGAGCTAACAAATTGCCCCCAAAGAATGTTCTTTTCGACCTTATTGCAGGAAAAGGACATTTTTTGATAGTATCCCATTCGACACCATCTTTTCGATACTATCAGACCCTTTGGTTTGCCTCTTATCCTTTGGAAGATAAAACAAAAGAAAGAGAAACGTTTATTAAAAACTGCGCCACTTTGCACGCTTCTGACGTCATCATCATCATGGCAGGTTTCTTGGAACTCACAAAAATTTAGAAAACATCATCACCCTTTTAGCGCCTAGGGGTATAGGTTACAACCGCCCCTTACTTCTTCCACTAGGTGACACACGTGGCCCACTAACTTCACCCACGTAAAATTCTTAAATTTCTGAACCCTTATAAAATCTCCAAAGAAATTTTTCATAAGACTTCCTACTCTTTACCACCGCTTGCTCTTCTCTCTTTTGCTGAAGAAACCCCTTTTTTAAACACCAGAAAAATCTCCTTCCTCTCTGAAAACTTCAATCATGGCTGAACAACAGAAGAAAACTCAAACTAGGAGACCATCTTCTTCTTCTGCATTGCCACCTTTCGCTACTTTGGGCGGACCAAAAATCACGAAGAACCAACAGCTCATCAGGGAACCATTAGCGGAAGAGAAACGACACATCTACGAATCTCAGGTATCATCCCCGTTGATGTGGCTGGAAAAACTTTAGCCATGTCTGGCCCATTGTCTCCCCCAAACCTTGATTATTCCACTTTGAACGACTTTTTCCCTTCCTATCGAAAAACCAAACCCTTAGGGCAAAAAGACGCTAGCAAAATCCCTTCTGATAACCCGGATGACCTTTCTCTCTTCAACGTGGACCTTAAATATTTACATGATGGAGCAAGACTATTTAGAGCTACGCCATACTTCAAAGATTCTAAACTTTATCTTAACTGGTTGGCGAAAATAGAGAAAGCGAAGGCACAACATTGGAAAGAAATAGGTATTTATGACCTAATCATGCTGTCGAAGGTTGGGCCACCTTACTGTCCGTTAATGTTGGCCTCCTCTTTGTATTTCTGGGACAGTACTCACCATACCTTCCATCTTCCCTGTGGAATGGTGACTCCCACACTTTTCGACATGGCTGCTATCGTTGGATTAAGACCATGT